CAAGGCAGGTGTGAGTAGGGTCCCTCATCACACCACTGGTCACCCCACAGATTGGCCTTGATCGCCAGCCAGGCCTAGGGACAAATCTCACGCACAGGCCTCTAGTAGCAATAATAATGATGGCAATAATCCTAACCATGGCAACACTTACATGGGCATTATCGTATGCCAGGCCTTAAATAGATTAATTCTCACAACAACTTCTTAAAATTGGGGCTGTGGTTATCCCCATTATACAGATTAGGAAACTGAGGCCCAGCAAGGCTCAGTAACTTGCCCAGGGTCACAGACTCAGTACACAGCCCATCAGGGCTTCCAAACTCAGGGTTCAGCTCCAGAGCCCACATCCCTGCCTACATGCTACACTGCCCTCTGCCCAGAGCGCCCAGCACATGGCAGGCCTGCCCTGCACATCAGATGTGATTATCATAACCTTTCTATTCTTTGTATTATTTGGGGGGGCATTAAAAGACTTGGCACTCCATTGCCAACTTTTAATTGCTAAACTTTTAACTGACGTTTTAATTGTGACGGTTTAATTGCGAAGCATCTTCTTTGCCCTCCCCAGACATTTTGACCTCACCTTGTAGGCTGACTATATTCATTTCTGCTGATACTGACATCGGCCAGTAGGTGGCAGCACCCCTTTGTTTTTGTCCCATGTAAATCCTGCTCCTCACATTTGAAGGAAGGGCAGGAGAAATTTCACAAGACATGTATGTTATCATGTCTTGTGCCGGAAAGCAATCATTGCCTGAATCCAGATTGTCACTCCCACAGACGTTCCCATGGCTTTTCCTTCTTCCCGGCCACCTGCCCTGAAATCTACAGAGGCTCTGAAAATGTGCAATGGCAGGGCGCTGTAACCCAGCTTTGCAGGTGACCAACTTTCTCTCCTGCCCGCACACATCACACTCCTCCCAGCCGAAGACTTTGCATAACCTCAAACATTTTCATAACCTCAAACCCCAAGTTGGACTGAATTTATTTATTTATTTATTTATTTATTTATTTATGTATGTATGTATGTATGTATGTATTTATCATTTTTATTTTCCCAGTAATGTTTATTTTTTTTTATTATGGTATCACATAATTGTCCTCATCCCTCCATTCTCACCCCAAACCTCTCCCCACGTATGCCCCCACCCCCCTGTTGTCCGTGACCACTGGTTAGGCTTACCGGTATATGCATCCACATAAGTCCTTTGGTTGATCTCTCCCCCTCATCCCCACCCTCCCCTACCTTCCCTCTGAGGTTTGAAAGTCTGATCGATGCTTCCCTTTCTCTGGGTCTGTTTTTGATCATCAGTTTATGTTGTTAATTATTTCCCCTAAATGTGTGAGTTCACGTGATACAATAAATACACTTGTGAGAACCGAAAATGAGACCAGCCATAATGGTTATGCTGAGAGGCAAATAAATCGGTCTGTAGTGAGTTTCTTTCTAGGCCAACAGTTCTTTTGAGTTCTTATTTCAATTGGACTGAATTTAAAGTGAATACTAGGAGCTCCAAAGGTTGTGTAAAAAGCTGCATTTAGGGAGACAGAGTTCGCCGTGTGTGTATTTGTGCATGTGGCCTTGGTCACAACCTTCAACCTCGGAGCCTCAGTTTTCCCGTCTGTGAAATTGTCTTGCTGATTTGCTGTAAGGGAGTGAATTAGTTTGCTGCTAGCAACCCTCTTAGAACAGTTTCTCAACACAGGGAAAGTGTGCCGCGCCAGCAAGCCAAGGGTTGGGCGAGCCTGAGGGAGGGCCGGAGAAGGATGAAGAAAAGACAGACAAAGAGGATAAGCTGGGTCTAGGTGGATCTTCTGTGCCTCGCCAAGGCCACAGAACAGGTCCAGACTGCAAAGCTGAGGCTTTATTTATTGTCAGGGACAAATATGGTAATTTACAATGTTGTAACTTTCATTTGTTTTGGCAGCACTTGCTGCCCCTCCCACAGCCCACTAGCTACCCAGGAAAGATCTAGAAAGCAGTCACAAGATCAAGCTTAATTATGCTTACAGGGCTGTGCTCCAAGCTGGGACTTGTTTGCGACTCTGCCAGCAGGTCAGCTCGAGGCTTAACCCTATAATCACTCCCTACAGGAAAGCACTCACCAAATTGGTTGTTGTTACTATTTCATTAATATGGTTGTTAGAGCTGTTATTGTCATTATTTTTATACACCGTGGGTTCAAATCCTGGTCAGTCTTACTATGGACAACATTTAATTTCTCAGCCTCCTCAAACCACTTATTTGCAAAATGAGTGTATATTACCCAGAGTGATCTTAAGCAGGGAATGATAAGCTTTAAAAATATATTTTTTTAAATAAGCCTGGCTATCTTCCTTTTTTCTTTTTTTCTTGTAAAGCACAGAGATTAGTTAAAACAAAAGTACACTCTCAGATAAGGGAGTGCGGGCAGACTGGAGAAGTGAGTTGCTCCGTTGGCAATCTTCCAATAAAACCAACATTTGAATTTCACATGATTACGATGAATCACAATCCATGATTCTTCTGCTTTTTCCAACCACTTATGAATGTAAAACATGTGCTTAGCTCACTGGCTGTACCAAACAGCCTGTGGGTGAGGTGAGCTTTGTCCCTCAGCTGCCATTTGCCAACCCTGGTCTTAAGGATTTAGTATTATATTTATAACTAGAGGCCCAGTGCATGAAATTCATGCACAGAGTAGGGAGCGGAGGGATCCTCAGCCCAGCCTGCACCTTCCCCAATCTGGGATCCCTCTCACAATCCTAGACCACTGGCTCACCTGCCTACCTGGTTGCCCCTAACAGCCCCCTCTGCCATCCTGCTCACCTCTAACTGCCCTCCCCTGCCAGTCTGGTTACCCCCAACTGCCCCCACTGCTGGCCTGGTTTTTCCACACAGCATGTTTGTTCAGTCATTTGGTCATCCCTCACTAACCCCACTGCCGGCCTGGTCATAGGCAGCCATCTTGTGAGGGTGTGAGAGTTAATTTGCATATTACCTCTTTATTATATAGGATGCCCATTTGTAGATTAAGCGATGACCTATTGTGATTACGTACACCATGGATTTTACAAATAGCAATACTGCAAAATACCTAGTATCCTGTATGTTTTAGTGCTGCTCAGCTTTATTACATGGTGAATTAAAGAACATGTAAAATCCCCAGATCCTGTAATCTAGCAGAATCCCCCAAGAGAACAGGAGGTGAGATCTATGGCCCTTTCCAGCCTCGGTAATTTCTGCTTACTTGACATGTCAATTTCTAGAGCACAAGAACACACAGGGGATGAAAGGCCCATGGGACCCTTGCAGGTGCACGGGCTGCTTTCAGTCAGAAGTCAGGCCTGACTTGTATTCTGAAAGCCACCAGAGCGGGTGGGCAGTGAGTTGGAGGTGGGGCTACGCTGGAATCGCTTGTGGTGTGTGAAGCAGAGTTTAGGTAGCGGTCTAGAGCAGCTGGAAGAGCCCATTCCTGGGACCAGACAGACTCTCTGGGTCAGATCCATGGTCGGCCACGTATCCTGGGTGGGTTTGGGAGACTGGACTCCCTCCTCTTGAGGGAGGTGATAAAACCTGGAGCATCCTAACTATCAGGATAATGGCAGCCTGTGCTTGCATTTTGTCTCTGCCATCACCTCGGTGACCTTTGGGAGGTAATGGAGCCTCCTGGAACTCAGCTTCCTTGTATCTAGAGGGAGATGATGACACCTGTCTCACAGGTGGGTGGGGACACATGAGAAGATACAGGAAATGCACCTGGAAAATAGACTGTGGAGGACAGCATGCTAAGTAATTTCTGGCTGTTAAAAGGGTAATATGCAAATTAATCATTACTCCGTCACAAAGATGGCAGCGCCCATAACAACCACAGTGGGATGCTAGTGGCATTGCCCCAGCAACGCAAGCCCATCATTCCGCACTCTGGCCATGCAGAGGGAGGGAGGGGTCTCTGGCCAGAGGCTGGGGCACAGGATGCTGGCATTGTCACAGGCTGGGCTGAGGAGACCCCGCTAGCCCCACCTTGGTGCACGAATTTCATGCACCAGGCCTCTAGTTGTGATTATAACAGATATTCTCAAAAGCTTAGTGATGGTGTGGGCTTGCTTGCCTCTTGTCCTCTACCATGGCCCCGTCTTGCTATGTTAAGCAATTTATTTTATTCATAGCATCATGCCCTATGTCTTTTGTTTAACAAACCCTTCTTATTGTATATTATGAGCTAGACATTATTCTAACCACTTAGTAAGACTTAGTTGATTTAGTACCTATGTTCCTGTGAGGCACAGAGAAGTTAATTAACTCACCTGAGGACACAAAGCAATGAGAGGCAGAGAGAGGGTTGAAGCTCGGGTTGTCTTGCTCTGGCTTTGTGCGCATAACCACTTACCAAGCTGCCTTGTCATCAGAAATGGCCTGGTTTGTGGGCTTCTTATTTGTTTATTGTTTGTTATCCCACCACCACTACCTCTCTCCCTTGACCCCCTGTGAGGTCAGGGGCCTCATCTCTTTCATTCATAGTTGTAACCCTGGTGCCTGGGGCAGTGAAACATGCAGAGTGCCCAGTATATATTTATTGAATCAATGAATGATGAAAATGTAGCCAAATAAATATATAATTGCAAGTAGTTCTGTGAAAAAAAAAAAAAAAATCCAGTGCTAGGATGGGTTTTAATAAAAGACCTAATTTAGTTTGAGGATCAGAGAATACTAAAAATTTTAAGTATCCTTTAATTATCTTCACACTAAAATCTCCTTGATATAAAAGCTGTGACCGAGAGGGAAGAAATGCTACCCACACTGAATACACGGTTCATCATGATAAATATTTACCCCAGAAATGAAACACAATTGAAAATCGGGGCTGGTTTGACTTGGACTTTGTGGATTAACGGTCTAAAACGTCTCTTTCCCCCCAAATGAATGTAGGCCATGGCGGTGACATGCCACAGTAACTTGCCAGGTCTCTACTTTTGATTGTCTTGAATTCTAATGTCTCTCTCTTTTCTCTCTCTTGCAGGAACCATGGGTAACCAAATGAGTGTCCCCCAAAGAGCTGAAGAGCAGGAGAATGATTCAGAAACAGACGCTCACGCGGTAGAGTAGCTGTGGTCACTGAGCATGGGCTCCCCCCAGGCAGAGTGGCGGGGGGGGGGGGGGGGGGGGGGGGGGGGGGGGGTAAGGGGGCGGGGGGCCCTGCCCAGGGCTCATTCATGAGCCTGCTCTCCCCATGGCTTGTCCTGCTGCACTCAAACCTCCAGACTCTATCACGGAGCTTGGCTAAAACGCAGGCTCTAGGCCCCACTGAGACTCCCGGAATCAGAACCAGCAGGGCTGGGGGCCTCGGGATCCTGCGTCTTTAAGGGCCTCTACAGCCAATGTGATACCTGCTCCCAGGTGGGTTTGGACCAGTGGGACTCACCTGGGGGTGGATTTGCCCATCCCCACCAAGGGGCACTTGCAATGTCTGGAGACATTTCATTTGAGGTCCACACAACTACTGGTCTAGTGGGCAGAGGCCAGGGATGCCACGAAACCCGTGGTCGGCAAACTGCGGCTCTCGAGCCACATGTGGCTCTTTGGCCCCTGAGTGTGTCTCTTCCACAAAATACCATGGCCTGGGAGAGCCTATTTTGAAGAAGTGGAGTTAGAAGAAGTTTAAGTTTTAAAAATCTGGCTCTCAAAAGAAATTTCAATGATTGTACTGTTGATATTTGGCCCTGAGGACTAATGAGTTTGCCGACCACTGCGGTAAACGTCCTTCTGTGCACGGAACAGGGGGCAGATGTCACTGTTCGAGGATGAGAGCCCCGGAGATGATGGCTGCATTCGCAGCCTCACTGCACATCAGAACCAGCGGGAACCAGAGGCCACCTGGGACCAATAGCATTAGAGCGGGGGGGGGGGGGGGGGGGGGGGGGGGGGGCAGGCTTCCTCCCCTGTGGCTTGTGCAGCCAAGGGGGCGGGGCTGCTTGTTTAGGAATTCGTCTTTGAAAAACTTCTCGGGAAGACTGAGGCCAGCGATGCCGAATGCGTCTCCTCAGGTCTGCATGACCGGGGAGCGGGGAGCCGGCACGTCCACCATCGGGGTTCAGAGACGGAGTGAGTGTGAGACTGGGCACTCCTCCAGGAAGAAGGGAATGCCTGTGAGCCACCTGACTGCACACTTTCATTGCCTCGGACTCTTAAAACCCTAGCGCTGGCCAAGAAGTTCCCGACTTTACTTCCATCAGGAGTTGGAAAACGGTGTTGATGAAACCTCCTGATGTTTAACTATTGGCAACTGATTCCAAAATGATTTTCAAAATTCTGTGAGCCAAATAAACACCCTTTGCACCCCAAGTACTGGCCCCAGAAAGCCGGGGGGGTCACCTCGGGGCCACGTGGTCACGTGGGCGTGGTGTTCCACTTCCGTGAATTCTCGGTAGCATTCACAGTGAACGCGAGAACACGGACTTAACAACGAAAGCCATTTCACAAACGTAAGGAAGGAAGAGTCTTCTGTGTCCCCCAGGAAGGCCTGCCTTTTCGCTGGTTGCTGCTGTTTAGTCTTTTCATTTTTATTTATCCCTGCACTTATTAACCGCTTACACTACTAACAGAACTGCAAAATAAAACTCAGTGTGCAAAACACTTAGCATAACATCAATCTTCAATGAATGTCAACTATTAGTGGTATAACTTAGTTGATTTTATTCTTTAAATGACATTACATACCATTACATACCATTACATACCATTATTTTCTCTGTTGTGACTTTTTGCTTTCCTTGTGTATATGTGTATGTCTGTATGTGTATACCCACACACACACACACACACACATACACACATAAAATCTTCTTTAATATCTATAATAATAAAAGGGCAATATGCTAATTAGACCAGACATCTTCCCGATGTCATTCTGGACATCCTTCCTGACAAAGCCAGGGCTGGAGGGAAGCCAGCCGGGGTCCCGGTGGCTGTGGGACGGCCAGAGGAGAGAAGCAGTCCAGGTCCCAGGTGCCTGCTGGCGGCCAGAGGAGGGAAACCCCGGTCCTGGGTGTCAGAGGAAAGCCAGTGCAGGCAGCAGGGGGAAGGAATTCCCACTCTTGTACGAATTTTCATGCATCGTGCCTCTAGTCTACAATAAATAACAGAAAAAAATATCAAGTCTGGGCCCTAAAAGTGGGGAAAGGCTGCAGCATGAGATGAGAGGGGTGTGGAGCAGGCAAAGGCAGCTACGAGCTCCCTGTGTGTGCAGGGTGCTGACTAGGGCCCTGGCTGTGTGTGCAGGATGGTGGGGCGAGGCTAACCTCACAGGCTTTGGAGTCACGTGCTCAATGTTCCCCACCGATCAGTCAGCCTGGGCGTCCATTGCCCATGAGTCCCCCCTGCTGTGCCCACAGGCTCCTAAGCAGAGATGCAGACAAGGGGTGTTCTCAGGGTCCCAGGTTCCGTCTTTAGGGGGGGGGGGGCGGTCTCGTTTCTCTGATGGAATGCTGGGAGTTCCCAGAAACACGGCTTTAAATTAAGTTTCTCCTTGGGAGGCACCCCGTGGCCTCGAGGCCTGCCTGTCCCAGGAGACCTGGCTGATACTGGCACGTGTCTGCACAGGTGGCGTCTAAGAGGGACTGCGTTCGCAACGGGACGCCGGTGATGGTGTCAACCTACACGGTGCAACTCTACGACGAAGGTCAGTGCCACGGGCCCTCCGGGGCCAGGACTGCTGGTCCCGGGTATGGGGAAATGGGATGGAGGATCAGAGCCCCAGGCTCATCTTGAAATACTGTGCCTGTCACCTGGGGCGCCCTAACAGTGACCCAAGTGGGTGGTTTAAGCCACTGAAATGGGTCGTCCACAGTGCGGAGGCCAGAAGTCCGAGCTGGAGGTGTTGCAGGATTGGCGCCTTCTGAGGGATATGGGGGGTAGGAGTGGGAGAAGGAGGGTGCTGTTCCCTGCCTCTGGGGGAGCTCCTGGGGCCTCAGGCCCTCGGCTTCCACGTGGTGTTCTGTGTTCCCACAGCATGGCCCTTCCGTGTGTCTGTGTCCAAACTGCCCCTGTTAAGAAGGTGCGGTCACACTGGGTTTTCCTCCTTTACTGGTCATCTGCAAAGGAGGTCACAGCACTGGGCACTGGGGTGAGGGCTCTGTCCTCTGTGGGCACACACCTCAGCTCGAACAACTCTCCGCCCTCTTGGTGCATGACAGCTGAGGAGGCCGAGATTTAGGGCCGAGGAAAGGAAAGCAATGATGTAAAATCACTGTGAGTGGCCTGTGGAGGCAGACAGACCTCCTGGTTACACCCCTGCTCTGACCTTCCATCTCAGCCGAGGCTGGCGCCATGTGTCACTGCGAGGTGGGCCCCGTGTCCCTGACTCTCCAAGGGGTCCTGGGCCGGAGCCTCCCTGCCACCCGGGAACCATTAGACCTGCAGATCCAGGGGCCCCGCCAGGCCTCCTGGATCAGATATGCTGGGGGTGGTGACCCCCGTGTTTTCTCGCATGTCCTCCAGGGATTCACGCTCTCCCTCAGACTTCTGCTCCTGAGAGCCAGCAGGCGCCTCTGGGAGGCAGAGAGAGGCCTGGGATGGCTCCGTCTGGATAATAGAAAGGGGCCACTCAGCTCCGGCCGGCTGCCTACCGGAATCCCTCAGCAGATAAAAAGAGATTGCAATGAAAGCCCGATTTTAAGAATTTCAAATGAAATTTTCCAATTAAAAAAAACCTAAGCACTAAGGGCCAAACCCCAAGCTGACCACATCATAAATGCCAACCTCTGTTATTGTAGTTTTTCCTACTTCACATCTCTTAACAAAGGTCACTTTTTTGTTTTGTTTTTTAACCACCACCAGGCTATCCAAGCGTGAAGCATTAGACATCTAAACCCTGTAGCCAACTCCACGCGTGCTTGCTTGGCTCCGGGCCCCCAGGCATCCGGGCCACAATAAGTGTTCCTGTGTGTGCCCACAGGGAGGGCCCACCTGGTGGGAGGTCACCAGTGGCCGGTCCCCTTTTCAGCTCTATTTTCTCCTCTTAAACCAATAAACCATGAGTTCTTTTTATTTTATACGTTTAAATCATCACCTGAGGGTATTTTCCCACTGATTTCTAGAGAAAGTGAAAGGGAGAGAGGATGGGGGGTTGGAAGGAGGATCGAGAGAGAGAGAGAGAGAGAGAGAGAGAGAGAGAGAGAGAGAGAAAGAGAGAGAGAGAGATCGACGTGTGAGAGACATATCAATTGGCTCCTTTTTTTTAATATATTTTATTGATTTTTTACAGAGAGGAAGGGAGAGGGTTAGAGAGCTAGAAACATCGATGAGAGAGAAACATCGACCGGCTGCCTCTTGCACACCCCCTACCGGGGATGTGCCCGCAACCAACATACATGCCCTTGACCGGAATCGAACCCGGGACCCCCCAGTCAGCAGACCGACTCTCTACCACTGAGCCAAACCGGTTTCGGCAATTGGCTCCTTCTTAAACCCACCCCTACGCCCCTCCCCAGGGCTGGGGAACCTGCAACCAAGGTCAGTCAGTGCCCTTGACCAGGAATCAAACCCTCGACCCTTCAGTCTGTAGGCCGACACTCTAACCATTGAGCTAAATCAGCCACGGCCATGAGCCTTTTTAAAATGACCTCTGAGAAAACAATCCTTCCTCCAAAGTTCTCAGTATTGTAATACAAGCTGTATGTTTTGTTAAAATATCTCATTAGAACTCTGAGGAGGCAGCTTGCTTTGACTAAGAATACTGGGAGCCTAAATGAGAACCATACCTGATGCTCAGATTTCCGAGGAGAAATTAATTTCATTTCTATTTTTAAAGTGTTTTCAGAGCCCTCAAGTTTGTAGGCTATCCCCTTGGAGTAGCTCCTTGTTTTATGGCTGATACTTAGGAATGTCAGCTGGTAGTGGTGGTGATAATGTACAAACGTTATGAAACAACTGATGTTTACTGAATACCCACCAGCTGCCAGCTGCCGTGTTCCATGTCTTCCGAGAAATATGTCCTGTAAGCCTTCCAGCCACCATTGAAGAAGGCACTGTGATCTCCTGGCTCGCTTTATAGTCATGTGGAGGCACAAAGAGAAGAAGTAACTTGACCAGGTCAGGTGTTTAATAAATGGCGGGTTCAGCGTTAAACCCAGACCCTTCCCATCCACAAGGTAAATTCTTTAACCACGGCCCTGAGCTGCCCCGGAGCCAGTGCTCAGTCCGCGCTGGGCAGCAGGACTGTCTTAGGAGAGAAAACCGGGTCCCCAACACCAAGCGCCTTTCCCGCCCTAAGGAGATCCGTGCCCGTCCCTCCTGGCGTTCGCCTGGTGCCTTTTCATCTTCCCTAAGCTCTTGGACGTTGTTTTCATGGAAAGTGAAACTCTTTGGTACGTTGTCTGTCTGCTCTGCGAGAAAACCCTTTATTGAAACCAGATTCAAGATGGGCTGGCTGGCTTCTCCCCAGCTCCTCCTAGGAAGTGAAGGCTCCGATCGGCTCCTCCGGAAGGAGCATTTTATTCTTCCCAGGATCACGTCGGGAAGGCGCGTAAACTATCCCCATCTTTGCAAGAGAATAAAGCCTGTCACTCCGGTGGGTTTTTATTTTAATTTTTATTGGCTTTAGAGAGAGAGGATAGAGACAGAGAGACACATCAGTGTGTCATTCCACTTACTTATGTATTCGTTGGTTGATTCTTGTATGTGCCCTGACCAGGGTTCAAACCTGCAACCTTGGCATATCAGGACAATGCTCTAATCAACTGAGCCACCTCGCCAGGGCTCCAGTGGATCTCCATCTGCTCACTTACACAGATTGGATGTGTGTGTGTGTGTGTGTGTGTGAGTATGTGTACGTGTAAGTTAACATTTTAAAATGTATTTGTTTTTAATGTTTACCTAAGGTCTCAAATGACTGTCATCTCATTTCCCCAAGTGGATTTTTTTCCTCTTAATTGAGAAGACAAAGTGTTTTTCACTTCTATCCAGCTCCTTAAAACTCACTTCCTCCCATTTCATTCTCCTTACCTTCTTTCCTCCCGTACTCACTGCCTCCTGGGCAGACTTGAGGAGCCTGGAGACTCCATTTCAAAAAGAGAATTGGTTGCCACTAATTGGCTAGTGAAATAGGTACGGACCAAGCCCCGGAAATTCTCTCCAAGTCACTGAGTATGTACATAGTTTAAACTGGCGTAAGTGAGTTGGGGCAGTGGGGAGATTGTTGGCCCTGTAGTGGTTAAGTCCAGTCTTCAGGCACAGCTGGATCCAGGTGTCCAAATGCTATCCTCGGGCCTCTGCTCCCTGGACCTTCTGGCTCTTTGTTCATCTGTGTTAGTGTCACCTGCGGGCAGCCATTCCCAAAAGGGATGGCCAAGGCCGCCCTCTCTGGTGTACTCCCTTCTTGTTTGCCAACCCAAGCACAAAGGGCAAAACTCTGTTCTAATAGGTTCAGCTAAATTCTGTTCTAAAAGGTTCACAAAACTCCCAGGATTTCTTTCATTAGTCTTGCTCAGGTCATGTGCCCACCTGGGAGGTAAGCATTTTAGCGAAGGAAATAGAAGTGCCAGAGAATGGACGTGGGTATGCACTCACCCAATTTGGGGGGCCCAGCTTCGATGTCACGGGATACCCCATGTAAGAAGTCCTGGATCTCACACATTAGCAAAAAGCACTTCACCCATCCCGTGATATCAAGAGCTATGGTTTGCCTCTGTGATAATCGCTAAATGCATTGAAGTCTGGTCTAGATCCCGGGATGTAGGAAATGCATCCTTGATCAAAGCGATTTATTGGCACTTTTTAGAAATCTGTCCACAGGAAATTCTTTTCAGAGCCATTTTCTGTGGCTGTAGCACTCACCACCATTCCTTTGGTTTCTAGCCAGAGAGTGAGGAAGAGAGGAAAAAGGCCGAGAGAAATCAGTTGATGCTCTTGGCATTTTGAAAAGCCCTTCCTTGTTTTGAATCATAGTCGCTCCCTTTTTGCCAGCTGTTTCCTTTTCTCCCGGCATGGACCATCCCTGCAATTCCTTTATATTCACTCTGACACTTCAGCCACTCCCTGGCACCCGACATACTCATCTATCACTTTCCTATTCCCATGCTCCCCCTCCCTCCTGTCCCCCCTGAGAATAACATTGACCATGATGATGAACTCCGGGACCACAGGGAAAGGGCTAAGAAGAGCTAGAAGTTATGGTCAGTGTTCCTGCAGGCGATTCCTTGAGGTCTGAGTTAGTGAGGAAAGCCCGGTGCTTGCCATAGGTCTCCTGTGGGTGTCCTCTGTGCTCCTCAGAGCTTAATGGGAGGCTGCCCTTCTGCTCCAGAACGCAGTGTGCGCGCGCTCGCTCTCTCTCTCTCTCTCTCTCTCTCTCAAATAAATATTTTTTAAAGAAGTAGCTGTCAACAAATTATAAAGCAGAAAGCAATGTTGGCAAAGGCGTGGCAGAAACCTTAAAAATAATCACAGTATCTGTCAACTATCAAGACCCACTATAGCAAAGGCAGTGTACCGGCTCCTAGGCAAGAGTTTCTTCCTTCAAACGTCTCACCAGTCCTGCAAGGGAACTACTGTTATTCCCATTGTACATTCCAAAATTTTAGTGACTAGTCCAAGGTCATACAACTTAGCAGTAGAAATCTTGATCTTCAACTGTGGCTCCAAAATGTGTGGTATATCATACCCTATATAATAAAAGCCTAATATGCAATTCAACCAAACGGTGGAACTACCAGTCGCTATGACGTGCACTGACCACCAGAGGGCAGACACTCAATACAGGAGCTGCCCCAGCCCACAGGCCCCAAGTCGGCCAACGTGGGTGCCAGTAGGGATCCCTCTGATTGCCCCGCTGATCACCCCACAGATTGGTCCTGATCCCCAGTCAGACCTAGGCACCCTACCCACGCACAAATTTTGTGCACCAAGCCTCTAGTTGATTTATACCAGGGACCTAGAGAAGAAGGCAATGGAAGGTCAATGCAGAGATCAAAGCAAAAGAGATGCTGGCAGCAGTGTGCTCCTTGCAGAAGGTGCGGTCCCGGGCAGCTCACCTCATGTGTCTGACCCCACATGCCTGATGCCACGCAGCCTGAGCCTGAGTTGCCTTCTTGTGTGGACATCTGCTCTTCTAGCCTTAAAACAGAAACTTCCTGAGTCTTTGTGTCTGAGATCCTTTAGTGTTCTCAGCAGATTCCCACCCACAACCTCCCTGCCTGTTTCCTCACTCATGTGTCCTGACAACAGCTAGTGTTCCGGGCACAGTTCTACGTGCTCTAAGAATGCTAACACATGTCATCTTCATAACAAAACGCCTCCTTGTACCAGACCACCAGGGCACAGGACAGGTGGGTAACCTGGATTCAAATAGGCACCTGAGCTCAGTGGTTCTCAAATGTGAGTAGCACACCCCCCCTCCCTCCCATACACACACCCGCCCGCCACCAGGGGCAGATGGCAGTGTCTGGAGACATTTTTGGTTGTGACAACTTGGGGAGGCTACCGGCATCTGGTGGGTTGAGGCCAAGGATGCTGCTAAGCACCTTAATGCTCAAGAGGGGCCCCCTAACGAAGGATCCAGCCCAGATGCCAGGAGTCCCAGGGCCGAACAACCTCTTCCAGACGCGGAGCCCAAGTGCCCACCCGCTCCTGCCTCCCAGGGGAAGCGTGAGGGGGTGCGCCTCCGGGTCCCTGCGGAGATGCAGCACCTGGTGTGGACTTTCCAACCACAGTTTCCTCCTGGGGACCTTTTGTCCCTCTCTCCCGAGAGGCGTAGGGTCCGGGGACAGCTGACAGCCACCCTCAGCTCTGCAGGCGATGGCCCTCATGTCCGAGGTGGTGTTTGTGTGTGAGGCGGTGTCCTCCGATGCCCACACTTGCGTTTCCTGGCAAGACTGGGATGAATAACGGCTGTTTGTTTGTGTTTGTGTTTGTTTGTGTTTGCAGTGGATTTGGAGATAAGAGTCCAGGAAGACAGTGTAGCCGCTTCTTCCCCCAAGACAGTGGACACCAGCGCCGTCGCGGCTGCCAGCGGGAAGAATCCCGGGAAGGAGGCCAAACCCGGGGCCCCAGCTGCTAAATCGCATTTTTTCTTGCCTCTCTCTCGGCCTGTACCAGGGCGTGCCGGAGACCGAGGCGAGGATTCATCGGAGCCAGGGCGGCCCGATGTCAGCGTGGCGGGCGGCCTAGGGCACAAAGGCGCGAGTGACAGCATGGCCCTGCGGCCGGCAGCTGCGCAGGGCCCTGGCCCCCATAAAAGCCCCGGCCGGACCCCCGCCGACCACCACGGCCTCGCTGCACCCCGGGGACCCGCGCCTCTGCCACCTGAGTCAGGGGGGGCGGCCCCCGCCAAGCCTAAGGACTCCGGCTTTTTTAACAAACTCTTCAAACTGGACAAGGGACAAGAGAAGGCACCCACTGTCAGCCACCAGGAGGCCGAGGGTGCGGCGCCCGAGGACCAGGCCTTCGACATCCCTGGCTTCCCTGTGCCGGCCCAGGATGTCCCCGCGGAGAGGGTAAGTGCGATGGGACAGTCCGTCCCCTCTGGGTGCGAGCTCCTCGGGGGCCGCGCTGGGCAGGACGGTGGCAGATAGATGCCTCTGCAGGCGCCCAGGGCCTGGCAGGTATGGGGTCCTGGCCCCCAGGACAAACAGCACATTGTGGGGTGCCTCCCGGGCCTGAGCAGGAGCATCTGTTTGCAGACAGTCCCAGCTGGGGTATCTGTTTCGTGTACAAGCCGGCGGAGGTGAGTTACATGCAGATGAATCCCTCCTTCCATTTATCAAAGGGGAAGCAAGACAGGTTGATGTGGGATCCATGGCAGCCAGAGGGAAAGGCGTTAGCAGAATAAAAATGGTTCCTAAAGACTTAACTACCCTCCAGGCTCGGCGACCTATTCCCTGGAACTTTTCACTTTTCACTTTTCAGAGCCCGGATTGGTCTTTCCCTGCCTCTTCCAGTGAAGGGTGGGTTTATGTAAAGAGCTTTTACCAATAAGGGCTGACTCTTCATGTACTACTTATTTTCCAACAACCTGGAGCAATACCATTGTAAAAAACTAGATTATTCTTTAAAGGAGGTATCTAGAACTCATTTTTGTTTCTTGACACTTTTTTGGCCTGTACAAAGAAAGGCGCGGGTCATTTTGATCTTAAGAAGAGCATGAGCTTTGAACCATGAAAATATTTGGTTTGTGTTCAGGGCAGAGAAAAGAGACCCTTGAATGAAGAAGGAACTAAAAATGAATACATGGTCTTTCAAGAGATTTGTTTCCTTCTTTAAGGGACTTTTAAATGGCAGTATTTTTTTTTTTTTCCAGACTTTAGGGTTAAATCAAGTGCCTCTAGTTGAGGTTAGAACCAGGAAAGAATTAGCTGGGCTGAGTTATTGATTCTATGCTCATGTGTCAAAGACAAATGAGTATTTGGTCATGTGTATTTGTCTTAATAACAGCTCACTACACAGCCACGCTGCAGATGCTGACGCTGGCGCCACTTGTTGAGCACCTACAGCGTGCCAGCCCCTGTCCTGGACACGGTACACAGCTGGTGTGCATTCTCTGCAGTTTCAGGCACCTAGGGGAGTGTGAAGAGTTACATTATAAATACTTAACAGCAGCTGAAAATTCCGAATTGTTAAAACTGGGAAAAGATCGTTGGGCTGTCAGTTGTTAGTTTCTGACTATCAGTATTCTTGCTGTTCCTGTAAAAGTTGAGTCCAAGAAATACAATATTCAAATTTTCCTTCAAAAGTTTAGAACAGCCCTGGCTGGTTTGGCTCAGTGGATAGAGCATCGGCCTGCAGACTAAAAGGTCCTGGGTTTGGTTCCAGTCAAGGGCATATGCCTGGGTTGCAGGCTCAGTCCCCAGTGGGGAGCATGCAGGAGGCAGGTGATCAATGATTCTCTCTCATCATTGATGTTTCTTTTTCTCTATCCCTCTCCCTTCTTCTCTAAATCAAAAATATGTTTGTTTTTTTAAGTTTAGAATGATTGCCCTTCAATTGCCCTCTTTCCCAAATGCACCAATCCGAGAGCTTGCTTTCTATCTAATTCAAAGTCAGTCTTTCCATGCATCCAGGCACCAAATCTTTGCTGAGTGTGCCACAGTGAGGCACAGGTGAGGCCTGGCCACATGGTGGGCAGGACAGAGCGCTCCTGTCCTCAGAGAGTGTGCAGTCCAGCAGGGGAGAGGATAAAAGCCCCACAGGTGTCATACGAGGTGTCAAGTGTCTGCTGGGGGAGGCAGTGGGCAGGGGTTGGAGAAAGAAAACTAGCCTTGCGGCCCACAGAACAGTCCCTCGATATATAACCCTCTTGCAGAACAGAGCTCATCTCAGGTATATAAACCGGTCATCGGAATTCATGAATATCTGAGAAGCTATGAACTACTTCACTCGGAGTGTGGACACTGATGGAGCTCACGCTCTTGGTCATGGGCTCCAAAGCCCATCCTGAGCGTGTGACCCACTGCATAGTCACTGTTGTGTTCTCAGAGGCATCAGAGCCAGCCATTGCCTGCCTTAGGGAAAGGCTGAGCTACTGGCGGGAGACCCCCTTTGGGACAGGTGTCGAGTGCCTCCTCCTAATTCCAATCTTAAGGAAGTAAACCAGGTCAGCATCTGATTGCCACGCTTCACACACACACACATACGCACGCACGCACGTGTGCACATGCACACACACACACACACACACACACACACACACACACGCACTTCCCCATAAAACCCAGCACACCCAACCCATTCCTATTTCAAGAACAGTGCAGAAGTCTCCACGCTGTGCTTTCTCAGCTTTCCTTCTCATTGAAGACTCTGATGGGGAGCACCTCAGTTTGAGTGGGATGACTTTCAAAATGACTTCGGAGTCAGAAGAGGGGCGTGTGTAGGGAGCGTGGCCGGTATCTGATAAAGTCAGGCCCGAGAGATGCTCTGAAGGTACGGTGACCTCTCAGGAGGCCCCTCGTCGTAACTTCTCTCCCTCTCTGAGTGAGTCCGCACCCTTAGATGAACAAAATGTGCATCTGTTTTTGTGACACTGCCAACCTCCAGTCTTTGCTGGTGGTGCCTTAGAATCGGATGCCACTCTGTACTCTGCATATAAAACACAGACATGTTGTGAACTAGCCATTCAGTGTTCTCCTTCAGTCTGTAAACTTGGGGATATGTAAATACAGAGGCCTGCAAAGATCTTTCACACACAAAAAGCAGCCTTCTGATTGCTCAGGTTTCTCACTTGGTCGCCGGTGGCACAGTGTGTCTCTGGAGCCACACACACACACACACACACACACACACACCAATTGTTCTAGAAGGGTCATGAGAGAGCCCAGCCCTGAGAGTAGCAGGAAGAAAACTCCTGGATCAATGGCCTTTGGGGAGTAGCACTTATGCATAAATGGCCGTCAGTGTATTGATTCAGAGCCCACACAGTGAATGATGCCTCAAGCTCAGCCATGTGGCTCTCCCTCCCCTCCCGCACGTGAGACAGGAGGTGTGCCCAGCCCCTCACCCCTAGCCCCTAGCCCCTCACCCCTTGCCAGATTGGAATTCCAGCCACAAACCCACCGAGCTGTGAATTGGGAGAAAGATGCCACCATTTGATTCTGTGGGGGAACACAAATCTTCTGTTTCCAGTTCGACAGTCTGATTTTTGTGCCTCATAAAACTACATTCAGGGCAAAGCAGCATTCAAACAAGGCCAGGATTCATGAACAAACGCAGCATTTACCACGCAGGCCAAGAAAAGATAAATTCTATGCCTGGAAGGTTTCGCTACATTGGGATTCCCACGAGCCAGCGTGTGGGCAAGGATAAGACTTTCTTTTTTTAATTTTCCTCTCCTCTCAACCACTGAACCAGCACTACGCATTGCAGATTCATCACACACACAAAATGACAATTTGACCTTTACTGGTTAAAACACACACACACACACACACACACACACACACACACGCGCACACACACACAGCTTCTGTTGTCAGCCAGGCTTCCAGGAGTGTCTTAGTGTCGGGGGCAGGAGGAGGTCCCTCAAAAGTGTTGTCAAGCACAGATGCGTGAGATGGAAACAGGACTATTCCTTTTCTTTGCAATGTTTAATTGAATTCGGCACGTGTTATTTAAACACCACACTTGTGTAAGGCATTTAAGAGATGAATCACCTTCCTAGCTCTTCATTGAGCATACAGTTCCGTAAGAGGCACCGTTTTTGAAAGGAGAATTATGATACCTGCATTGACCCGCAAGTTCTTGCTGATATGAAGGAAGATCCTCAGTGGTCTGGCTTCCTCCTCCGCCGCCTTTCTGTCTTGAAGCACTCCTTCCAGGTTTTGTCCTCCCAGAAAGTGCTCTTGTCAAACTGCCGCCATGTGGCACCTCCCAGGCTCAGGGCAGCTGCCAGCTCAGGTGTGCCTCGTCCTTGCCCTTCTGGACCTGCCGCTCACACCTGACACATAGGCCCCTCCTGAAGCAGCATCCGCACATGCCGCTGTCCTTTATCTCTGTCCTCTTACCTTGGCATCCCCCAGAGTTCAGCTCTTAGCTGTCTTCTCTCACTACCCTCTCTTCCTTACAAATCACCCCCGGGTCCCAAGGATTTAAATATCAGTGTCTGCTGACGAGTCCGACATTTCTATCTCCAGCCCGGATCTGCCCCTGAAATCCAGGCTGCTCTCTGCAGCTGCCTCTTCCAGGTGAATGCTCACTGCATCTCCATGGGAACGCTCACCGAGCATCTCAGTCTCCGTATGTCCACAGCCACAGAGTGCCTACACGCTCAATGCACAGGCTTCCTTACCTCAGTGAACGGTGACTCCATCCTGCCGCTATCATTTAGGATTAGAATTATAGAATCAGTATCTTTAGTAATCAAATAGAAGCATTGCAGTCAAGGAGCCTAGTTTCAACTCTGCCTCAGTCGCCTGCTGGCTGTGTGACCTTGTGCATGTTACTTAACCTCTCTGAGCCTCAGTTTCCTCATTTGTAAAATGGGGATAATAATACTATCCAGCATGTGCTCACATGATTTACACTTGTGGAAATTAAATGTCATGTGAAATACTAAACATAGAGATATTGCATTTTGAAGGAAAAGAAAACGTAGCTATTATTAGGATATTGGTTTTTCTCCCTGCCTGTCACTCCACATGTTAGTCTTTGTATTCCTCCTTTCCATAGTCCTCAACCAAACCCCAGAGGTAGCACAGTTGAATCTAATTTGAAAGACATAAGTCCAAATGTAGGTTTTAAAAAGTGAAGGAGTGGGAAATTATTTTTAGGAACAATAGAATGTAAATGCCCATACCCATTATACCTGGTTTCTTAGTCTGATGTTTAAGGGTGTCAACACCCTTCCCTCTAGTCCACATGTGTCAAACACAAGGCCCGCGGGCCAAATCCGTCCCGCCAGGCCTTGCAATGTGGCCCGCACCGCGCTGTCATCACTGCACTCCGCTGCGTTTCCATCACAATGACAGTTTATGACTGTTCAGTAAACCATTCGGCCCGCGATTTA